GAACTTCTTGCCATGAAATAGTGTGTTGGCCAGGAGTACAACTGAGTTCAAATCAGGACTAGACAAACTCATGGAAGGGGATGTCCTTTGATTTTGAACCACTGTTGGGTCTGGGTGTGTACCTTGGCTCCACAAGTTTCTAAATTACTGATCAATGGAAGGGTACGCCTTCACGTGGTGGATCACTCCAAGGGTGCCCCATCCCTATGGTCTTCCCTAAGTATCCCCCATAGCCAGTGCCAAAGCAAGGACCCTGGGACACTGGGATCCTGCTCTGTCCAGACATTTCTTACACTATAATGAATGCAATCATAAAAATACACTGTTCAGACAAGAAAACTGTGTTGGCTGCTTTTTAAAAGAGAGAAGATTCAAATTTTAAGAAAATATTGTATGTCTTCAGAAAGGGTTAAAAAATAGCTAAATGAAAACTTTGAAATATTCACATAGACCAGCCTCAGTGGAGGGAGGCAAAAGCCAAGGCTGCCTTTGCAGTCACTGAAAGAACTGGCTCATCTAGAAGGTGCTTCAGAGGACCCTGCAAATGCTCCCACCATGAATCACTATCCACATCAGCATCCCAAACTGATATAGCTCCAGTAGCCTTTCTCCAGGAAGAGAGAAGGACTTATACTAATTTAGAGTGAATAACTTCTATGGACCATTTTTCCTTCACAGTCTTAAAACAATCTCCTTCTGCCAGGCCACAAGTCTCCCCTCTCGCTCCCCCTGCCCCACCTGGCCAGAGTGCCGGCAGCAACTCACTTTTTCCTTTTTTTGTTCTTTGAATCAGCTGCCTAAACATGCAAAATACATACAACTAGCAGCAGGCCCAGGCAACGCTGTGAGAGCAGAATTCTATGTGAACACAAACCCCACGTTTAATACAGTCTTTGTTGTGTCAGTGACAGCCCAGGCTTCAAAGCTGTGGGCTACCAAGTCTACTATGTAAAAAGTCAGGTTGTTTCTACCCTGGAAATATTTAACACTCTGTCCTTTCTGCAGCATTACTAATTCCAAGTGCTGTTTAATGTTCTGCATCTGAATAGGACTCTCAATTACATGAGTCACTGCAACGATCCTTTGATTTTATTTTTTTTTTCTTTTTTTGTTACATATGTGTAAACTGAATCCGCCACTGCTGGAGTCTGGAGCTTGCTCTGCACACTTGAAGTGCCACAACAAAACAGGCTGACATGTTACATTCAGTTTTGAGTTGCTCTTGGCAAGCAATGCCACCCGTGTGTTTTGTCACTGCCGCCACATCCTTGTCAACTGTGGCAGAGAAGTGGAGGTGATTTCACCTTGCACACAATGCCTCCCTAGACTGCTAGTGTACAGGAGAACTGTGTGGTTGCACACTGTGGCAGGGGCAAGTGTGACGCCATCCTCTGATGAGGGAGGAGGGAGAGGAAAGAGGGGGAATTGTCCAGTTACCTGCAGTACTTCTCACTGATGGACAACATGTCATACTGGCTGGTGATAAAAAGAGTACAAATACCCTTTCACAGCCCAGGGAACCCATAGGTGTTAGCTATTAATTCTTTACCAGCTTTGCTACATATGTAATCCACCTTAAAGTTCACCTGTCACATCCACACTCCACCAATAAATACGTGCAAGGTGCAGATGAAAGGGTACAGCCCACGGCAGCATCCTTTCTTCTGAGCAGCAATCTGCACGCCTCTGGGTCAGCCCAGGATCAATTCTATGCTCTGGACAATTTTCAAATAAGTACAATATGTACACCTCAATAAATGTAGTTTGGTGGTCAGCTGAATCATGTGCTTAACAGTTCAATTCGAATGGACCAGTGCTGACTTTGCAGACATTTTGTGGTCAGGTTGGCAGCGTAGGTTATTGAAGAAAATGTCTTTTTTCTCACTTTTGAAAAGCTGAATTTCAAGCCTACGCACAGTGCCTTTTCTGGGAAAGCAAATTTTCTTGGAATGCCAGTTACAATTTTAGTAAGGAAACAATGTGGCAATTGTCAAATTCAAATCAAGTTTTAGCACAGAGGAAGAGAAGCAAGGCTGGAGAAGAAAAGGTCATGGCAAAACACTATGAAACAGGTAAAAACCTGGTTTTTTTACTCCTTTCCCATCTTTTCCAAGCCAGGTTCTTACTAGAAAAGCTGCTTTCCATCTCTTCTAAATTTCCATCCTCTGTCAGTATAATGCAGGAAAGCACTGCCTGAAAATAAAGCTTTTCTTTCACTAGAGGATAATTACTAGTTGCTCACTGTCTCATTATAAAATCCTAGTGGAGACCAGGATTTTACCACGAAGATGCTAAAAAGCATCAATATTATGCCTTACATAGGAAAACCTACTGTTTCATCTGTCCTCTGTCCCCTGGCAAACAACCACTTCTCTGTCAGACAAGGTAGAACGTAACACCTCTTTCCTTCCTGTGTACAAGATCTGCCTGATTTAAATTGAAAGCTCTTTCGGGTGGGAACCTGTTAGGAACTATGTTAAGTCCGTATATTGTAAAGAACAATGTTACATCAACAGTGTTGCAAAAAAAATCAAAGATTTTTATACAAAAGCCTCAACTGTATGTCCCAGGAATGGCAGTATAATTATTTTTAGAGATGACTATAGCAGTAACTTGACACGACACGAGAGACCTGAGAGACAGCAAACCTGATTTAAACCAATGGAAAAGCCAGGAATGCAGAATGGAGACAGTTCTTAATGCACCATATTACATCTGAACAGTTTGTTCCTACCCATCTATCCAAAGCATGATGTTTTGCATTTCATATTAACATTCTGAAGACATTAAAGGATTCTTCAATTTGATGTTCATATGCTGTGTCAGAACACGTACTCTGATTAGAGAGATGTTATGTCTACCTGTTACTCATCTTCCCTCCTTCAGCCTCATAACCATCCTCCCTCCCACTCACAAAAAATCCCTGGGGCTATTTTTATTGGTAGCATTATTTAGTTCAGCAAAAAACAAATACAGTTTGTGGGATTTGAACTTCACTTTGGATTTCTGCAATACCTCAGCTGTTACGCATATGTACTAAGACTGAATGCTAACAAATCATTGCAGTGATACTGGATGTTCATATACAGTTTCTCATCTTCAAAGCACTTTAAAGTTTCCCAGAGGTTCCACAAAATCTGGGAGAGGGAGGAGGAGATATGGGCAAGAGCCTTTGTTTAGCACCGGTCTTAACATAAATCATAGTTAGTCCCTTTCTGCTTAGCGCTATAGCAAAAGTCTTCAGAGTAAAGTCTGAAGTGCTAAGCAATGCTAAATTGCCCATAATACAATTTTACTAAAAAGTATTTAAAATACTATTTTTTTTCATATGGACAACTCTCTTCAGAAATTCTGTTCTCACCTTTGAGTTCAAAACCAGCGAAACCCGTGACATTAGTATAATGTGTTGGGAGATTAAGGACAGTTTCATTTCAGAAAGTTCTGATAACAAAAAAATCATATAATAAAACAACAAAGAACATAAGCAGGAATCTTAATTTTAAAAGATTAAAATATTTTATAAATCTTTTTTAATGGTAAAACTAATAATTCTTCATGAATTCCTACAGTGTTCAAGGCAGAACAGTTAGCTTTTAATAACTGAAAGGAAGCTCTCACTAACTTGCTGGCCAGCGCTGGAAAGAGCAATCAAGAAAACTTGGAAGTGAACTATTACCAAGCTTACTTTGCCTGATCATGTAACAGGGGAAGAATTTTTCTCAACACATGAGACCAAGTCAAATACTCTGCCCACTTAAAATCTCAAACCATTGCTTTACCAGAGCTTGGTGCCCACACCTGAAGAGCACATACTGGCTATGGGCACCCAGAGGCAGCTCAGGGACGTCACCGTTAGCTGTGGGCAAGCTCCCTCCTGGCCCAGGCCAGCTCCGGTTGGGACACAGCCTCCAGGGCAGGCAGCACTGGACAACACCTCTTTGGAAAACCATTTCAAGCTATTTTCTTTTTTTTGACTGGGCTGAGTCAGGCTTGCAAACTTTTTTCATTATCACCATAAAAAACAGGGATGAAATGAAACAAAACCTAACTTTTTACTTAATAGGAAAGAAATATGAAATTGGAATGAATAAAACATTCTATTTCTCAAATATTCCATTAAACTTAATCCAATCCAGCCTTTCTGCTTGAAAGCATGACTTGTAGTCAACATGCTTTCTAGGGCACAGAGTTCTGTATCACGACAATTAGTACAGGCTATGATTTTGAAACATAGATGTTAAACCGGTTCTTCTGAGGTAATTTATTTGGTTAGGTTCCTTTTGAGTTTGAAACATTTCTATAATGTCTGGCAAAATATGGAAACATTCTCAGATGAAAGGTTACGTGTGTTCCAGAAAAATTTCCACTGAAATCAAAAGGAGCTCTTAGGACTACTCTAAAAGTGCAAACTCTTCATTTATGTAATTTTAATATGGGGGAAATAAAGAAGTGCAAGATACTAAATTTGTTTTAAAGCTCAGGAAGCAATTTAAAATGAAATAACATACATATCATTAACGAATACAGTGAAAAGTGTGCAAATGTTAATTAAATTATCTCTTTATTGTATCTACAGAGCCTCAAAATGATGTTTTCTTTCTTTCTAGCCAAATTTCCTGAAAAAAACACATAGCTGTAAAGCAGAAACTGTTAAATATTTCACAACTGGAAAAGGAAAGAGAATGAAACTACAGCGATTTTTTTTTTAATTTGTATTTCTATTCAGAAATAAACTGAACTTCAATATGTTTTAATTACATATCCTGTTTATAATCTTCTACTTAAGTCCAAACTAAATAACAACACTGGCAGAACACAGTAAATTTGAGGAACTGGGATGAACTACTTCTAGGTAAATGTTAACAGAACCATTTTCCTTTATACAAAATAACTGTGTTCAGGCAGGGAGCCAGTCTTCTGGGTGCACCATCCCCTAATGTCCAATTTCTGTAAAATTCAACATCACCTTTCTTATCTGGCTACTTAAGACTTTGTAATTTTTATGTTCTCAAAGCATAAGCTTCTTTTTGCATTTGTAGTTTTTCATTTATCTCTGCCTGTAAAGAAAATCAGAAGACAAAAGTGGTTATGATGGAGCTATCTTAGGCTGCAAATTGTGTTTGTGGTTTTGACACACTCTAGTGCAGCAGGACAGACATTATCCTACACACCTTCCTGTTTTGCAGACATAACGGTGTTTCAGCCTGTACTTATGTGATAACACTTTATCATATTGCTGTGCACAATTCCGATGTATGGTACGACTGCCACGCACAGGAAATGATCCGGGACAGCCATTTCTCATGGAACCTTGTCTTGGGAGATAGGCTAATTTGCCTGTATTCTCAGACAGCCCTTACCAATAAACACCAAATCAGAACAATTGCTTTGGGATTTGGTTGTTGCCACTGTTTTCCTTTGCTGCAGATGTTTGTTCTCTAGTGTATTACATTTTATTGAAACATTGCTGGAATGAGAAAGCATTACTGAAAATGAACAATAAAAAACCATATTTCTGTGATGTTGCTTGTCTTTCTTAATTACAAACACAATTATGAATGTGTATCTCATTCTGGAAATCCAGACTGCTGTAGATATTGAATGTTTAATTTACAACGTAACATTTGTGGGGAAGGTACAAGGATCATGACATATTTTAGTGAAATCTTTGGTAGTGATAATTTGTAGAAATCTTTAATTCTATAGCATTTGGCAATGTTGATAAAAGGCCACAAATACTGGGGATTTATGTATATTTCTCAATATCAGCATTCATCATGGCAAAAACACATGAGAAAGGGAAGGGGTAAACTGACAGTCTTTCCAAGAGTCACAAAGTTTTGTTCAAACAACTGGAAGGGGCTCAAAGGTCCTTTAAACACTCCGCATAAACTGATCCAAAACTTAGAGTTACATTCTTAATAGACTTCATGTAATGTTGATAAAGTGAATGGATTTGTCCCAGTAACTTGCCATTTTAGGAACTTTTTAATTTGCCAGTCCTAGAAATCCCTTCTAGTAGAGCTATACTGCAACCTATCAATGGATAACCACAGCTAAATTGTTTTCAAAGTTCTCAGTAGCTCAGATTAGCATCAAAACCTGGAATTTCTATCTCAGCTTGGTATTTTTAGAGATGGTCTTTACTATATTAAATCCATCCTCAAGTATCAACAAACATGTCCCTATGCCTTTACACTAAATGTATGCTCAGCTGCTTTGCCGTGGAACACTGATCCTCCAGGATAATCCTCTCCCAGCCACCCCAGCTGCCCTTTCTTCTCCACTTTTTATATATCCCTCTTTCTCTGATTCTATCTTCAGCAGAAATCAGCTGCCACCATCCTCACTATGGCTGCTGTTGTGATCACTGAGTGTCAGCGCTGTGATTTCAGACTAAAAGTTATTTTCTTGACTCAAGTACAGCAAGGGATGCCTCACATCCCCTGGAGATGTAATGCAGACTGTAAAATCACAGTTCTCACATAACAACAAAATGGTACAATTTTGACCATGTATCAGGCAAAAATCTAATGATAAGAGGTCAACAAACTGAGAAATCAGGTGATAAATTGGTGGAGGACTTTTAAAAACTAAAAGGAAATTATTTTCTGTGTACATAACAGAGCTGCAAAAGAAGGGAGAAAAAAAAAGACATCTAATCTGTGCAGGTTTTGTAAAGAAAAAAGCTTTTAGCACTGGTGCTAATGAAATCAAGGTCAAGTGAAAACCAGGCCTTTCATTTTTTCTCTAGGTAGGGACAGGAATACGACAACATAGGCCAGGTTCCCTCCTGTTTCTAAAGACATGTTGAAATGGAATGTGAAATCAAACAGGTAGATGCAATTATGGCATCATTATTCCAATCTATATTCCACATTCATACATAATCCATATAAAACAATTTACAATACCACACTATTTTCACCCAATATTATATATTTAATAAACTGCTGCTTGGTCAACTGTGTCAAATGTGCTGAACCAAAAGTTTAAGGTGCCTAATGCCATCTGGTTTTTGCAAACAAGACCAAATTCCACCAGTTCCTGGACAGAACTGAGTTCCAGCTGGTTTGCTTGCAATTATTTCATATGCTTGAGGGAGCAGTTTACAAAATAAAAATTATCTACTCTGAAGACTTTCTACATGTTCCAATTTATAGACCTCTCTGTAGAGAAGCAGATCACCCTATAGCAAATTTAAGTCCACTGACAATAACCTCCTTCCCTTTCATGAGCCCCACAGAAAAATCTCATGGACTCCTCAGGGTCTGCAGACCACCTGATCTGTTCCATTAAGACAGCTCCTGTATCCTTACACAACTACCAAATGATGTCTAGAATTGGCATAAATGTGTTATTTCTTACACAGATTGAAGGATGCATTTACACAGGTGCATCTAACAATTTATATTAAGCACACACTGCATATGCTCCACCACAGCAGCTGATCCTGAGCCACTGAAAAGGAATTTTATCACTGACATCACTGGGAGCAGGATCTGGCCCATATTTCTTAACACATAGTAATGCTGAAGATATATGTTATCTTACTGAATATTTTTTATCTTATCACATATAAGCTGACTAAACTAGGAGTTCTTTATAGGCTAATTCACATTTTTACAGCATACAGATGTGTTTTTATGCCAGCTTTAGCATGAATACAGTTTTTCATTAAGGCTGAGCTAGAGAATTAACCATAGACAAAATTAATGAATAACTTTCTAGTAATAGTACCTCAAGGTTGCCAATAATTTCATCTGGGATTTCATCCACTGCAGATTTCTGATCTTCAGCAGTGACAACAGCCACAGCATCTGCCTCGAAGGACTCCACCTCTGGACAGGGCTCTTCCAGGCAACCCTCTTGATCAGACCCCTATCAGCAACCAAGCACAAGAAATACGTGAATTAGAACATCTCCCTGCCCTCTACAAGACCAAACAGTGTCAGCCCAAAGACATGCAACAATACATGAAGCCTGCTTTTGAGAACTCTCTGACAGAGACCGTCAGCGCCTCTCTTTCACTGCCCAGGCCAGGCAGATCCCAAGGTTACAAAATTGCATGGGGCAAGAGCCAGAGGTGGTGACTCAAATGCCCTCTGTTGACTGATTAATGCAGTAAAAGCAACTTCATTCAATCTCAGAAGAGAACATATGCTATATTCTGCGGAATAAATATCATTAGTGGCCGGGTTCCAATGGGAATAAATGAGGCAAGAGACTCACAAAAAAATAGCTTTAAAAAAACCCAAAACAAAACTCTATACCTTAAATTCTGTCTCTGCAGCTCTTGGTGATATTAAGGATGATGAATCAATATTTGAAGGTATGTCTTCTTCTGGCAGAGCAGGGAAGGGGGTAACTTCAGGTTGGGCAAGTTCAATCCCATACTGTCAGTAGTAAAAAAAAAAAAAAAAGCAAAAGAAAAAGAAAAAAGAAAAAAAAAGTCATTCAGGTTTAATTATTGCTCAGAGGTTGATTGCACTTTTTTTTTTAAGATGGAAATGAAGTGGGTGGCAAACAACAAAAACAATACCTTTTTTGTTACTATCCAGGTGCTCAGAACTGGAAAGCATACTTAAAATGATTATGGATCAGCTTTAATTTCTAGCTGCATCTCAAGGGGCCCTCTTTATAATACTTGGAAAGAACTGATGATTATCATAATTTCATAACACTACAGCTTCTTACTTATGTGGATAATTAAGTTTGTAAAACACAGAGCTTGGGTAACATGCAGCCTTCCCAATGCAGATCTGTCACTTCTGAACAGCAATCTTGTTGCACTTTGGAATGAAAGTGCCCAGCTGACCATGGGGATATTCGTTCAAAAGAGCCAGCTGGAGTAAAGTTGTAGTGACATTGCATCAAATAAGACCCTAAGAAATATATTTTAATATGGGACTCTAGTTTAAGAATTGCCAACTGTCCAAGTTTTGCTGCTTCGTCAGCTTGCTCCCATTTCTCTTTCCTGTGAACATGGGAACCACACTGGTATTCTGCTGGCGTGTGAACTGCAGCTCCAGGAATGTTCTGACAAGGAAATGGCTTTTCCTCCCTGGAGTAGCTGGATGCAGTGCTTAGTCCTTGCTCAGGCTCTTGTGAGTGATGCAGAAGGCAGCCCTGCATCCTCTAGGACAACGTTTTGTGTTGTTTTTTAATAAATGGGTGACAGAATATACACTCCAAAGAAGGTGAGAAAAGGCATTTTTGAACTGGCAAGGAATGGGGTATAATATTAAAATAGTATGTTTAGGGCCCCTACAACAGGAAGTACC